AGAGCATTCCTGGTTAACAATGAAGACACATGTCTCTTTTGGGCACCAGATTGTGTCATGTTTATCAGCGTCACGAGGACTCAATTTAAACCCAGTTTCTCCCTCTCTCGATCTTATAGAGCTCTCATTGTTGCTGATATTCAGGGCTGGATATTTCCACTAAGATGAAGAGCTCTCTTTCTCTATTCATCTCCAGTACAGTAATACTCATCTCTCTGGACGGTGACCTCTGACCTCCATTCTTCTGAACTTCTACAGCTCTCAGTGTTCAGAGATGTTTTCATGGCCTGCTCAGTCTGACAGCTTTGACTGACATCAGCATGTTGCCGTGTGGTTGTGATTCAGCTGTGATCTAGCTGTTCTACTTTTAGCATCACACACAAACAACTGCTCCCGTTAAACCCTCTCATTCAGACCACAAAAACTCCTCATGCAGCTCCACGTTATCCATTTCTGATAATAAACTGGACAAATCCACTGATGGGAATGATGTAAGTAAAATGAGTAAAATGCACACATTCTAGTTTGGTCAGTTGATTTGGCTCCATCTGATCTGATAAATGAACTAAAACTGCATCATGTTATCTAGACGACACACAAAACATCTTTTATGACTCTCTTTCCTTCACTCTTGGCTGGGTCGGTTTTGGTTGCAGCTGGACAGTCCTACAGAACTGGCTCAGACTCCACGCAACACACTGGTTCTACTATTTATCTATGGAAGCTTATTTCTGCCACAGAATAAAAAATATAAAAAAGGTAATTGCGACTTTTTATCTCACAAATTCTGACTAATTTTTTCTCACAAGTGCGACTATTACTCACAATTTCAGTGACTTGTTTTTCTCAGAATTCTGAGTTCACATTTCAGAATTCTCTATTTTTTTTCTCGGAATTCTGAGTTTACATCCCGCAATTCTGTTTTTTTTGTATTTTTCCCCCCAAACTTTTTGACACCTAACCTGACTACATGCACACACAAAATTGTGAGGAAAAAAGTTATAATTGTGAGATGTAAACTCAAAATTCTGAAAAAATTGCAAGAATTCTATGAAAAAAATTCAGAATTGGGAGATATAAACTTCGCAATTCTGAGAAAAAAGTCAGAACTGCAAGATGTAAACTCAAAATTCTGAGAAAAAAAGTTATAATTGTGAGATGTAAACTCTGAACTCGATGAAAAAAAAGTTAAAAATATTAACTTCGCAATTCTGAGAAAAAAGTCAGAACTGCAAGATAAATGCGCAATTGAAAAGATATAAAATCACAATTCTCTATGAAACAAAATTCAGAATTGGGAGATATAAACTTCGCAATTCTGAGAAAAAAGTCAGAACTGCAAGATGTAAACTCAAAATTCTGAGAAAAAAAGTTATAATTGTGAGATGTAAACTCAAAATTCTGAGAAAAAAGTTATAATTGTGAGATGTAAACTCAAAATTCTGTGGAAAAATTCAGAATTGCAAGATATTAACTTCGCAATTCTAAGAAAAAAGTCAGAACTACAAGATGTAAATGCACAATTGTGAGATATAAAAATCACAATTCTGAGAAAAAAAAGTCAGAGCTGCAAGATATAAACTCACAATTCTGTGGAAAAAAAAGTCTGAATTACAAGCTTGCAATTGAGAGATATAAACTCATAATTCTCAGAAAAAAGACAGAAATGGGAGATGTTAACTCACAATTATGAGATATTAACTCAGAAAAAAGTCTGAATTGTGGAATGTAATCTTGCAATTGTGAGATATAAACTGCTATTTCTGAGATAAAAGTAAGAATTGTGACATAATTCTGAGAAAAAATTTGAAATCTAAAAAAGTTGCAATTACTTTTGTAATATTTTTATTTTGCAGTGCTATGAATGGTGTAAAACACTCAAATCATCCAGAATCAAGAGTAAAAACATTCAGATCTCTTGTTTAAATGAGTCGAGATGTTTCAAAAGGTTGTGCGTCGAACATGTCCTGTCATATTCCTGCTCTATTCATTCCTGTAAGTGATGACAGTAGACTAGAGCTGCTGGAGTGCATCTCTCTTCTTTAGAATTAAATATTTCATCATTTTTCCTTAGGCGTTAAAATCGGCTGGAGACACACCTTTGAAGGAAGCACTTACCTAACTTGTTACCTTATATTTTATTGCATTTAAAAAGTCCTTTGTCTATTGTTCCAGTACTCTGAAATCACCTAAGCTTGTATTTTTCTCATTTTTTGGTCCCTAGTAATCAGAACATTGCCGCAATGCAATCAAACATTCTATCAACGTTACAACAACATGCTGAAAATATAAGTGCACAATAAATTAGCCATGCCTAGTCGGAAGGTCATTTAAATGTAGAGCAACAATGTTGCTACAGCTCTCTTGCATATTACATTTCTACATTGTTACAACCAGTGTTGGGGAAAGTTACTTTTAAAAGTAATGCATTACAATATTGCGTTACTCCCTAAAAAAGAACCTAACTGGCGTTACTTTTTTGAAAAAGTAACTCAGATATTTTCTTGTAAATTAAAAAAGTAATGCGGTACTTTACTAGTTACTTGAAAAAAGTAATCTGATTACGTAACTCGCGTTACTTGTAATGCGTTACCCCCAACACTGGTTACAACCAACGTTGCAATAGTACAAAAAAATAATTGCCACAATATAAATGTTTGTTGTGTTGTCTGCTAAATGAATAAATGCTTCTAACTTTTGTTATGCATGTATTTAAAACAGAATATACATTCTAATTCGAATACATTCTATTTAAGCAATAATTTACATTTTCGTCACAGACGTCACAGAATGTTGACAGTGCATCTTAGAACTCGTACAGTATATTTAAGAGATTATGGCATGAAGAATAACCTGATTACATAATCTAAAATAAAAGTATAGTCTCTATAGTTTCATTATAGAAATAACGATAGACTGATATCTCATTAATTTACTATAAGTTAACAGCAATAACTGTATGGTATTTTGGGTGCACCTGTGGTTACCATAATAAGTTGGGAAGTCTCACGGAATGACTAATAATAATTATCAGCTTTAAAAATTAATGACAACTCCAAAAGCACGTGCAAAACGTCAAACGCACGTTCGCGCTGTATAATAGCACAACCCTGAGGAACCACGAATATAAACGAGTTTCTGTTTGACTTACTTTGCGCAACTTTCCCGTCTCATCCACTTCCCTCATGAGAGACGGAATAAAGACCTCGATGACTGGAGACACACACTGATGATCCAACATCTCCAACACAAGCGCGCAGATCACTGACTGAACTGAAGATCAGCTGCGTGTGCTCTGAATGATCTGCTGGATCTGAACGATGAGCTCCTCCTCCAAACAAACACACAGACAGACAGCTGAGAGAAATAAAGCCATTCATACAGAACGGCATGATTTTGAAGATTACCGAACACTGTTAAGGACCTGGTAAATCGTGTTTATTCATTTATTAATTAATTGAATAATATATAATAAAATTACAATAGGAAAACACTGCTAATACAGGTAAACCAACTGCCAGAGAGTAAAAAAAATAAATAAATAAATATATATATATATATATATATATATAAAAATTGACAGATTAAAAATATAAATGACATAATCGTTATTTTTTGTCCAATCAAATGCTCTCTAGAATGAGAATGTCCCGCCCCCTGCTTCCGCCAGCGAATCACGATTCCCCGTTGTGATGTAAACTAAAAAGCCATTCGATGTCTCACAAATGTTCTTTTTCTTTTCGAGTAAAAACTGCGTGTTTCTCTGGAGATTATACTAATATTCTAAATTCTTCAGACCAGTGTTTTCTGAACATCTAGAGAATAAAACCTTTTTATTTGAGGGTTAAAGAACCCAGTATCTGTTTTGTCATTTACTCGGACCGCGAGTCAGTCATGAGATCTCTCATTTATAAACACTTACCATCCTTAATAAACTCTATAATAGACTTCGGAGAAGTTATATAAAAGGATATTTGTGTAATTTCTCTATGGAGAGTACAACTGCACATTTATGTGTTTCTACGAATGATATTGACACTACCATTTCAGTAATAACTATTTAAGTGCTAAGTATTTCAAATAGAATGACTATTTTATTAAGATCAAATGGTTAGTTAGCACTGGGCATCAGCACTAAACCTGCTGTCCTCATTTCTTGTCTGAATGGAGAATAAATGAGAATCACATGATTTCCCGTGACACACAACCATTCATGCATTTACTGCTGACTAAACACAGTCCAGTCTGAAGATAAGCCACATTCCTGATGCTCAAGTGTTATCCCAGCATTCCCACTTCATCCCAACTGTTTAATTCAATGCTCTCAGAGTTCATTCTCATCCAGAATGAGCAACTGAACCCTGGACATTTTTTGACCTACAAATTGCTGGAAAATAAACAAGCTGAAAAGCTTAATGATTAATGAGTTTATAGTTTAAAGGCTTTTGGTGAAAGATTAATTCCGCTGCAGCTGTAATAATTTTACCGCAGTAAACCTTCAATGAGGTCACATGAAAATGTATCATCAAAGCTCAGAGAAACAATCATTTACGATAAGAGCATTAAATGAGAGCTGGTGCTTACAGCACAGAACAAATACTAAAAGAGGGAAGATACAGGATCACTTCCTTTTTTAGTCCACTGTGTGGATGTGGATCTTTTGGCTCAAGGTTTCAGCAAAGACAACTATTAAGAAGTATTTTATGCAACCATGACCAGTGTTGTTATTGTTAACTACAATTTTTTTTTTTTTATTTATTAAAATAAAGCTGAAATCAAATATAATAGATGAAAATAAAAATTAGAAGACTAAAACAAAAACTGAAATCAAATGTTTAAAATACTAAAATCACTAAAAATGAAATAATTTAAATTAAAAATGCACAAAAAAACGTACTAAAACATATCGAAATATTACTAAAACTGTCTATCTATACACACACACACACACACACACACACACACACACACCAACAACAAAATACTCTTAAATCAAAAGCTTGATATTTGTAATTAAATCTTTATTGTTTTTCTCAAAAGAAGTGTCCATAGTGAAAATAATATCTGCCCCCATTTTTCTAATAAACAAATTTTTGATTATTATGGCACCTAATGGTGAAGTCAAACCTGTTAACATCTGTTCAAAGTGTCATTACAGCAGGGCCCAAAATATAATTTCTAAAGCAAACCAATAAAACAAACAACAAAATGTTATAAATGATGATGAATCTAACAGCCTTACAAACTCTTGACAGCAGCAAAATCTGTATAAAAAACAAAAACAAAATGTAATGTAGAAACAATTGAATCATTATTAGTAGCGTAGCAAAAGCGTATTAATTATTATAATCAAGTGGATAACACAAATATGGTTTGACACGAAATAAAAACACGTTGGCATAAATGCCTACAAATGAAAACGATAAAGTAAATCAAGCAAAAAGGAATGAAATTCTGAACGACAAAAACCAACTTTAAGACTGAAGTGCTTTGGGCTTCCTGCTGGACCAGGTGATATAGCTCTGATATTGATAGGAAATGCATTAGAAGTGCGTTTTTAAATGCTGAACATACAAACATGATCCTAAATCTATGGAAGGTTTAAAATGATCCTTTGAGTAAAAACAATAAGCCAGAAAAAGAAAGAAAAAAACACTGATCAATTTCTAACAGGCTGATCAATGAGTGTAAGTGTTGACATATACAGTTCCTATCATTTCCACTGGCCAGTTTACAACATCCAGCCAGTTTCAGTCATTTTTATTTCAACAGTCCCTAATAACTGTATTACAACCTCTTTTACTGCAAAATACAATGTCATCATGGTGTTTAAAAGTGTATATACCAGTATTCTGGACAAACTAGGTCCCTATTTCTCTCTGAAAACCCAGACTAATTAGTATAAACGGCTTGACTGGTCACACAAGTGGCCTGATGGGAAGTTTCTTACTGTGCGAGTATATGAATGAGCGACGAGTGCCCTCTAGTGTAAACCACTGACATCACTGCTGACGAGTAACAAGGTTTGGTTGCATACAGACGAGGACGACACCCAGCCACCACATGCGTTCACATCCCCCAAACAATAAAGAAAATAAAGGTGAAGATTACACAGAAAATATACAGGTTACTAACTCAATCAGAGGAACGAGCGGCCGGATAGATGATTTCCCTTTGCAGCGCGGTTTCTCTTGGTTTATAGGCGAGAGGTAAAGAGTGTAGAAAGGCCTCAGTTATTTGTGAGTGTGTGTTTGTGCGTGGACGCTGCCTCACGCGATCGCTTTCGCCTCCGGCAAAAACGCCTCCCAGTATTTTATCAGCTAGAGGAGAGAGAGCGAAATAGGAATTATGTGTGTTTTAAACACAATTCTGGTTGATAAAATGATTAAAACATGTTTCTGTACCTGTTGTTGCGAGTTCAGCAGTGACTCCAGATATTTGATGATTTGTCTCTTAAAGTCTCGAGCTTTCTCTTTCTGTTAGCAAAGAAATTCAAATGAATAGTTAGTCTTTTTGAAGAGAAGAATGTTTTGAAGGAGAATTTAAAGGAATAGTTCATTCAAAAATGGTAATTTTCTGAAAATGCATTCACCCTCAGGTCATCCAAAGATGTAGATGAGTTTGTTTCTTCATCAGATTTGGAGAAATGTAGCATTCCATCACTTGCTCAGCAATGGATCCACTGCAGTGAATGGGTGCCGTCAGAATGAGAGTCAAACAGCTGACAAAAACATCACAGTAATCCACACCACTCCAGTCCATCAGTTAATGTCTTATAAAGCGAAAAACTGCGTCTCTGTAAGAAACAAATCCATCATTAAGAAGTTTTCAACTCCAAACTGTTGCTTCTGGCTAAAATACTAGTCTATAATCCATAATAACACTGCCACCAGTGAAAAAGTCAATCTCCTGTTGTCCTCTCACATCAAAATCCACCAACATATTTGTTAAGAACTCTTTTTTTTGTCTTTTAAATGGTGCTTGATCTGTGTATATTTCTCGCCGGATTCAGAAGAGACAACTTTTTCACTGGAGGAACCAATGTTATGGATAGAGGATTCCTATTTTAGCTGGAAGCAAGAGTTTGAAGTTAAAAACGTCTCAATGATGGATTTGTTTCTTACAGACACGCAGTTTTTCGCTTCACAAGACATTAACTGATGGACTGGAGTGGTGTGGATTACTTGAGGATTATTGTGATGCTTTTATCAGCTGTTTGACTCTCATTCTGACGGCACCCATTCACTGCAGAGGATCCATTGCTGAGCAAGTGATGTAATGCTACATTTCTCCAAATCTGATGAAGAAACAAACTCATCTACATCTTGGATGACTTGAGGGTGAGTACATTTTCAGCAAATTTTCATTTTTGGGCAAACTATTACTTTAATGCTGATATTTAAATCCATGTAGAAATCAGGTCTCACATCAAAGCGGATGACTTCTTTCCGTACGGTGGCTGAGATTCTCTCAAATTCTCTCTCGTACTGCGTGACTTTTGCTTCCCACTGGAGGACGAGAATAAGAGACGGCTCATTATAAAGCTGAGTTGTTAAAGGGGTCATATGATGCGATTTCAAGTTTTCCTTTCTCTTTGGAGTGTTACAAGCTGTTCGTGAATAGATAAGATCCCTGAAGTTGCAAAGACTAAAGTCTCAAAACCAAAGAGATATTCTTTATCAAAGTTAAGACTCTGCCACACCCCCCTAAAACGGCTCGTTCTAACACGCCCCCACATATCTAGGTCACTATGTGGGAATATTTGCATAATGCGCCCAAATGTGCACGCAAAGAAAGAAGGCGTGGTTTCAGTAACCGCAGTTAGTGTTGAAGCAGCCATGTCAGAGAGACGCT